TATATATTTATTTATTTATCCATAAATATATATATATATGGCACTGATACAATAACATCACTGTTTTTCACAGTTCCCATCTCTTCACTGTGCAGTTCCCATTGCTTTTCAGACAATTGTCAAAAGCAGCAAGAGCAGCTTCACCACACTCTGGGACAGTCCTACCTGCTCCTTCCTTTGACTTATTGCCTGAGTCCTAGAGAAGGCCTTGCAGCCAGACCCTTCGCCCATATACACTTTGACCTCTCCAAAGCCACCTAGCCAAAGCACCCCTGCAAAGAGCAGGGATGGCAATATGTTCTGGAGAGCCTGGATTCTGCTGGTGCAGGGCTGCCTGTTTCCCCTCAGGGGCTGGGCGCACACTTTCTCCTTCACAGGTTCTTGCTGGCCCAGACATGGTGAATCAGTAACCCAGCCAGAGCCTCCTGCACAGAAGTACTACACAAATTGTGCTTTAGTGGGAGGACCTACACCCCATGCTGCCTGCCACCCTGTCCCCAAATGGATTTTTTTATGATAGTAAGCACAATCTCTATGCCACAAGAGATCACTTAGGCCACAAGCAAAGCTCTGCCATATTTGTTTGTCACACCGCTTCTCCAAGGACTGGCCTAGCTGTGCTGCTGCGGCCAGTGTTGTTGAACTCCAACTCATAACCCAGCTCTGGACTGCTCCGTGCCTGGTCCTTCCCCTTTGCCTCAGCCAGTTTTGGTGGGCCTAACAGGAATAAAAGGTATAGAGTAGGACCCCACATGAGGTAGTCCATGACCCAGGAGAGGGTTTAGTGTTGTCGCTGCCAGTGACTGCCTGAAATCCACTTTGAACTGAGGTCTGCATTAGGATTTGGCCAAACATCAAGCTAAAACTAAGAGGGCAGCTGAAAATGTGCTGCACGTATGTAGAAAACATTTTCTGAGTTTGGTGGAAAGTGTGCAAAAACTATTAAAAATACTAATTGTGAATTGACAGTTGTACAATTTTTTTTGCAGCAAAACAGGTAGAGAAAGGGTGGTTTGGGCTGTGTTTAATCCCTGAGTACCTGTTTCAGCCCAGAGTTAGACTGTGACTCTTTGATCTGGAATCAATCCAGACTTAACTGAGGTCCTCCCAGCTGCCTTCTGCAGCCCTCAGAGAAAGGTGCCTCCAGAGAGTAGGGTCATCGCACCTAAGGACTGGGGAGTCTCCCTGAAGCTATGGATGGTGTCTGCAGACAGCATCAAGGCCTGCTGGGACTCTCATATTGCGCCCCGGGGAAGCAGCAGGAGTTAGCACAAATCCAGAACATAACACTGCTTTCTCCTTTATTAAGTCAAAATCACATTTATCCATGGAGATAATAAAAATACCTGATAGTTAAACTGTGTAAGTTGCTGCAGATGAGGGATTTCTCCTCTTATAATCACCCTGGATATAACTGGTGGTGTCTTTCAGACTGATTTTATTGTGAAAAATTAAGAAAATAACTTGCACTGAAACCAACTCAACTGGTTTGGTGCTGCGGCATAGACACACAAGACAATACCAAACATCTGGATGACATTACATCTCAAGAATCAGAATTTGAATCCTATTGGAAACAGATATAAAGTCACTACAGCCTTTGAGCAGCCTATAAACCATTCACCACAAAAAATATCATGGAATAACTGAAGCGTTCAAGTATCCTTTTGGTGCAGTCCCAAGTATAGCACACTGCTGACAGTGCAGCCAACAGCAGTGGTTGCTGGGGAAGGAGTCGGGGATCGGAGCCAGAGCAGCCTGGAGGCCATAAGTCTTTCCATTTACATTAGTGGATGTAGAGTTCAGCTTTTAAGGACTCACGCACTCTGTGGTGCTGACCTAGGCAACCTTCCTTCCTAAAGAGGCTGAATCGGGCACCAGAAGTGAGAGGATACAATCACTAGTCTGAGTTTGTTCCGTGACTGTTGCCCTGGGCCTTGAACATACAGATACTAAAGGATAAGGACAGGCTGAGAGAGTTGGGGTTGTTCAGCCTGGAGAAAAGGCAGCTCCGAGGAGATCTAATTGTGGCCTGCCAGTGCCTGAAGGGGCCTACAGGAAAGATGGTGAGGGACTGTTTATCAGGGAGTGTAGTGACAGGACAAGGGGTAATGGGTTTAAGCTGAAGGAGGGTCGATTTAGATTAGATGTTAGAAAGAAATTCTTCACTGTTAGAGTGGTGAGGCACTGGAACAGGTTGCCCAGAGAGGTTGTGGAGGCCCCCTCCCTGGAAGTGTTTAAGACCAGGTTGGATGAGGCTTTGGGCAACGTGGTCTAGTGAAGGGTGTCCCTGCCCATGGCAGGGGGGTTGGAACTAGATGATCTTTGAGGTCCCTTCCAACCCAGACCATTCTATGATTCTATGATTCTATAAATAAATAAAGAAAGAAAGAAATAAAAGCTGTGTGACCTCAATGCAATATTCTTTTGCCTCATTGATGAAAATCAGATGATACAGATTATTTTATCTTCTGCAGTGTTCTTGCTACAGAGGAATTCTTTGTTAAAATACTTCTAATACTCCCATCACGTACCCACATACCATCTCTCCTTTGCTGTGCTACGGGTGAAGCTGCTCTATTACCTTTGAACTGGAAATGAGTTGGAAGTGACACAGTTTATGCTTTATGACTTAAAATTTGTCTAATAGAAGCAGTTTTGGCTTACAGTGGGTGACCTACTGCACACATCCAAGGAATGGAAATAAACACCTTCAGGCAGAAAATCATTAAATTGTGGAATATAGATTTTTGAGAACATTTAGCTATATTCATAGAAAAGAGTAAAACTAAACATTTGTCTATATGTAAATGAAAATGCCAAAATGTCCTTCTAGGCACATAATCATCTGTGTAATTTCCAGGAGGACTTACCAGGATTAAAAAGAATAATTCCTTTAAGATAGGCATATTCTTTTGCACTTATGTCCAGGTCCCAGAATTTCCACAACAAATTCTTCAACTTCTGAACTTCTGCTAAAGATGCTCCCAGTGCCGAGCTGCCCAGTTCATTGCTAGCTGTCAAAGACTGATTGAGGAGGATTCTTTTCAATAAGCTAGGGGCTGAAATCTCTCTCAGGTCAAAATCCACCCCTTCTTGTGCTAGGCCCAGGACAAAAAGAGGGGCCCAGTTCTGCTGTATGAGGACAACCTGATCCTCCCAAGGCACGTGATAAAAAGAAGGCAGGTTTCTAATAAAAGTTAAAGTCTTCAAGAGCACTTCGGAAGCTCTTCTGCACGTGGCTTCTGGAGTTTTCAGGACAACTCTTCTCCTGTCCACGCAAGAGCAGCCTCGGCTTCCCGTGGAGCGGTGGGGACCATGATACTGCTGGTGCCACTTGGTCTCACCTGCGTGCTCTTTCTTAAGGATCTGGTACAGGATGCTGTCGGCACGGTGTGGCTCACACTGACATTTCCCAAATTTCTCAGCTGGGATATCGCTATCCATAGAGCCAAACGCGTCCCGTGGGACGGCCCTGCCGTGGCAGGAAACGGCGCTTGTGGAGCTATGCATCAGCGACAGGGGAGAGCATTTCTGCCACACAGCGAGGCATTGTGTGCTTTTTATATACACCGGCGGTTGAAAAGTAATATGACCCCGATCTGTAAAGTTACCTTGAACTTTACTTGCTCCGGTCTGTTTCGAATTAGGCGGGGCTGCAGGCGGCATGGCACAGGGTGCCGTATCCTCCCCAGGGGAGAAGGAGAGCTCCCGCCCGCCGGCAGCACTGGCCCCGGCACTGCCCACCGCCGGGCCCCGGTGCAGGCCGGCTGTACCCCAC